TTGAAATTGGGGCCATATTTTTCAATGAAGTTTGCACAAGTAGTAGCCCCTCCTCTTATGAAACGCTTAACGCATGTAGCCCTTGGTGAAAATCGCTGGGGCTGAATTCTGCGGATGACGGAGTCGCACAAAATGAGAGTTTCACAATCCGATGTTTCTCTCGTAGTCGGATTTTTGTTGGTGTTTCCTGTAGACTCGAGCATGATGGTACGATTTTTGTAAATGTACATTTTTCATAAATGTACCAGGTATCTTGCATGTAGGAAGCAGATATATACCACCATATGCGCATTGACCAAGAAATATTTTTAAAAGTGCGTTAAAATGGTCGATATTAATGCACTTTGAAAAGAAATTTTATTTTTTCAAGGTGTGTTGACTTAATTGGTCCCAAAATTTAACGCACTTTGAAAAAATAATGCCTTGAAATAGATAAATTTCCATATTACGTCGCCGTCAAGGAGTAATATGAAAATCGGGCTTGCGATTACGTTCGAAGCATTGCTTTTGTAAATAAAATGGCGGCATAACGAAATACAGGAGCGTAAAGAATCTAATTTTCATTAGATAGCAAGTTTATTTATGTTAATTTCTATTTGGGAACGTTAGCAGTTTAAATGACAAAATGTGAACGCATTGAAAAATAAAACAATGTAAAATAATTCATAAAACAGAATTGCAACTTTATTTAAGGAGTAATTTTTTTTACTACCAAATCAAAATTTTCAAGCAAAAAGAAAAACTAAAATAAAACTAGAGACGAGCTCGTTGCAAAGCAGCGAGTCTACTAGGTCTTCCGTTGGAGCTGTGGACAGGAAGTGCTGACCTTGGGTCAAGGTCACTGCACTTACTCATAACAACAACCCCTCTTCTCAGGATGAGCCTCTTGTGAATCTTAATTACAAAGTTATGCTTGAACATTATTTTTTTCTCTGTCAGTGACCTTGATTTGCCAGTAAGACCTTCATCAAGGTCATGACACAGCCTCCAATTATAAATAATCTATGTTTCAACTTTTGTAGGGATGTCAAAATTTTCAATAACTGATATTCGAATATGCGATAGGAGTATTCGAATATATTCGAATATTCGATAAAATAAATACATTTTGCATTATGAAGTACATCAACATAATATTTTCACTCTCTTGTCAACCAGTATACATTTATTGGTCATTATTAATTACTCCAACAAAAAATACCATGCTAAACAAGCTTATCAATTATCTACTTTAGAAAAATTAAAATCAATTAATTTTAGCTATTTAATTTCCTGATAATTATTTTAATGATATTTACGTAAACAAGTGATCCATGTGTTTTCTGTAAAACTGTGTCCTTACAACAATATTAACTTATTGTAAGTATTTGGCACTGTTATACCACTAATCAAATGATCAAAGAATGATATATTTTAAGGTTACACTTTTAAAGTAATCCAACAGGACTTTCTTTTAAAACTTCTCTTTAAATTAAACATTATTCTTAGTCAACGGTATGAACCTGTAAAACTTACAAGATTTTCTCTCTAATAAATGCTTGTATATCTAAAAACCGAATATTCGAATCATATATTTATATTCGAATATCAACTCATCGAATGAATATTCGAATATTCATTGACATCCCTAGTTTCAAGTATGTAGACTTGGCAATGGGGAATTAAAAAATGCAAGCGGGGTTTTATTTTGTGAGCTTGCTCACAGTACCTCGACCTTATTTCTAAAAAGAAAAATTCCATATAAATTTCGAAAACGCACATTATGTCATTTTAATTAGTCTACAGGAAAAGAAGATGTAAGTGATATAGAAATCGCATAGAAAGGGTGTTTAAAGTACATGTTATTACATATTTCATTTTTTTAAAGTACATTTTGCTGTCGATTTGTAGATTTAATTCATTCAGAAAAAGGTTCATTCTATAATTTATCCAAAATAGATTTATTATATTTGTTTCATCCGTTTGATGGTGTTATTTTTTTCTATTTAGATGATATATTCCTGAGATGGCACAATGCAAATATGCATCTACAAAGCAGACGACAAATGCAGCACGTTTATCACGTGTGGTAATAGACGTATTTACAGACCTTTTCCGGGAAATTTTGAAATTGCACATTACAGAAATTCAATTCCCTTTTGTTCTACAAGAAAAACGAGACAAACTATGTGCTATACTAAATAAAAATCAGAAGGAATATTTGTATCCAGTAAAAGATTTATTTACTGGTACATATAAAGAATTTGACTTGTCCTTACTTTACATTCTCATCCGTAATGTAAGTGGCATACCATCGCACCAGCATGGATGGGGAAAAACTCCAAAGCCAAGGGACCGAAGTGTATCTGCCAATATTGACCGTGTTCGAGAAATACGGAATAAGAATTGCGGGCATAGCGGGAGTGCATCACTTGATGATGGCGATTTTCATAGATTATGGCAGGAATTGCGTTTTATTATAGGAGAAATTGAAGCAGCATTGAAGTTAACAACTTACACAGATGCTATAAATTTCTTGGAAAATGAAACAATGGATCCCGAGCAACAAGAAATGTATCTCTCCATTATTGATGATCAACAAGTTACGATATCTGATGTTAAAGGTAGGTAGAATATAATGAGATTCACTGGTTCAAAAGATATAAAAGGTCGAAGATTAAGAAAACTTTTTTTTTTGCATTTTGTGGATACAAAACTTAAGTATGTATAACATATTAAAGGGATTTTTCTTCTTCAGGTACACAAGATATATTAATGAAAGAGCAAAAAAGACAGAATCAAGAAATTGAAAAACAAGGAGAAAAGCTCTGCAGACTTGAAAGGCAAAGTAAGAAAGCAAATAATGAGCAAAGAAAAAAACCCACATGTGTTGTATTTTTGATATGATATGCTCTTGTGAATTAAATGAAACTGATTCATCGAGGATCATTTGTTAACAAAACACTGTACCCTAGGTCTAAACCACGCTTGACGAAGGATGTTTTCAAATTATTCTCTAAAGGAAAATTATGCGGACACAGTTCACTGTCACATTTGTCTTTATAAGATTCAGTATGATTTAAAAATACTATATGCAGCTGATAGTAACATTGAAAATTTTATTATCCCAAGAAACCCTTTTTCAATCTCAGCAGCATGTATACATATACAAGATAAAAATGCACTGCAGAACTAATCCTTTTGTAACATTTTTGAAGCGATATTTTTTCGGAATAGCGTGGTCCCCTTTCCTCGCTGATGCGCATACCATGCATCAAATGCCCTTAAATGCTTCTTTTTGAAATACATGTGTACTTGAAATTGATAGATACTTTATTTCAATTAAAATATTTTGTTGTGAGAAGCAATTTTCAGAGGAATATTTTTTTTCTGTGGAGTTAAATAATGTTAATTGTGCGTTAGTTGACCTTTATATATGATTTTTACCTCAATAAAATACATTTACTGGACTAATAAATATCAACTGTGAATAGCTAGAGCAAATATTTTATGTTTATTCCAATGATATACCCCCGGTATAACAATTTCATTTGGAATAAGATATTAAGTACTATAGTAATTGTGAGGATGTGTTTTTATTTATACAGATGCAATTTTACCTGAGGCCAGAAATATTTTAGGTAAGTGATTGTCATTGATGGCTTACATATATACTGCTGATTAATCATTAAAAAAAAGATTGTTCAATTTGTCTTGGAAACAGAAAACAACAAGATGCCCATGGGCCACATCGCTCGCACGAGAAGCTTTGACCATGCTATTCTAAAAGGGGCATGGACACAGTTTCAGCTAAAATTGCAAAATTTATTGTTCCATTTTTACAAATATTTCACTATGGTCTTTCTAATGATCATCAAAAATTTGAATGCAAGTTGTCAAGATACAAGGTAGATTTAGAGCTCCAAACCTTTGCTATGTATACAAGGCTTGTCTCATGCTTTTGTTTACACAGGTTAATATACTAATACATGTTCGTTCAAAGTAGATTAATTATAAAAGTTTTACAGTTACTTTTGATTTGCTGAACTTCATTTTGTTATGAATATGATATTTACTATATGTAAACAAAAACAAGGGGCACACCTTGTTTACATTATGAAGAACTTTAAGTTCTGTATCTTGTTTGTTGATCAACAAATGATGTTCAAATATTTGCTAATCAACAGATGATGTCTTAGGTAGGAGTTGTAAAATTAAAATTGGTTTTAAAAAATCAGTTGAAACTGTGTCCAGGCCCCTGTAACCAGATTTTTTTTCTTGTGACCTATTTTGGCCCCACCCAACCACCGGGGGTCATGTTTTCAACAGTATAGATTTTACTGTACCCCAGGATGCTTCCACATAAGTTTCAGCTTTTCTTGCCAAGTAGTTCTTGAGAAGAAGATTTTTAAAGATTTTTTCCTATATATCTCTATGTAAAACTTTGATTCCCTCTTGTGGCCCCACTCAATCACCGTGGGTCATGATTTGAACAATTTAGAATCTACACTACCCCAGGATGCTTCCATATAAGTTTCAGCTTTTCTAGCCTAGTGGTTCTTGAAAAGAAGTTTTTAAGGATTGTTCCTATATATTTCTATGTAAAACTTTGATTCCCTATTGTGGCACCGCCCAACCCCCGGGGGTCATGATTTGAACAATTGAAAATCTACACTACCCCAGGATGTTTCCACATAAGTTTCAGCTTTTCATACCCAGTGGTTTTTGAGAAGAAGATTTTTTAATGACCCCACCCTATTTTTGTCTTTTCTTGATTTTCTACCCTTGTGAGAGGACCTAGCGCTTAATATTATCTATTTAAATTTCCCTTCACCCAAGGATACTTTTAGTTAATACTGTACCAGTGGTTCCTGAGAAGAAGTACGGAAATGTAAAAAGTTTATAGACGGACAGACAGACAGACAGACAGACAGACAAACAGAGGTATGGAAAACGGACAAATGTGATCAGAAAAGCTCACTTGAGCCTTCGGCTCAGGTGATCTAAAATGCATGGATAATTAATATGTTTACTCTGTCGATTATTTTGTAACTATTCTAAGTTCACCGAGTCTGCAATTATTTATCAGTGAACTTTAATCAGCCACTGTCTGTCGTCTGTTTTTCTATCCTTAAAGTTTCCCCATTTTTGTCGTCTTCTCTTTAACCAGTAGGCAAATTTCAGCAATGATCGGTACATTATATCAATGGGGAAAGTAGAAATTTTATTTTTCATACGATTCGACATACCCCCCCCACCCCCCCCCCCCACCCCCCAAAAAAAAAAAACCTTGTGGGGAAGTGAAGATAAAATGGACCAGTTATTAATCAAGCTCCACTAGTAGGAAATATAAGATTCTGTAAAAGCTCTTTAGCAGAGTATGGAATCTGAATAATTTTGTAAGAGGGATCACAAAAGGACACACGGTTCAAATCAATCCCCCCCTACCGGTTAATGGAACAATTGGAAATAACAATTTAACGCAATGAATTAAGAAGTAAATATCTGTATAAAATCTTCTGGTCCACAACAGGGTGATATTTTATCACATAAGTAACTTTCTGGGCATTCTCAAGTTGTGCAGGTTAAACATTGTGCAGTGGACACCTATATAAAATTGCATTTGTTCTAAGGAATTGAAAAGGCATGTGAGATTATTCCTATTTAAAATAAAAATATATCATTTGAACATATTTTATTGTAAAATAATTTTAATATAATGTTCTTATATTAAGTAGATCCTATTTCAGGCCATGGTTACGTCTTATTAGTTACAGAACATTACAAATTTAAATTCAAGTTGAAGTATATATTTTTATTCAGAAACATGAAATCATATACTGTATTAGCTATAATTGTAAAATCACTACTTTTAATTTTTTGTTTTACAGAAAATTACCTCCATTTTAAGAAACATCAAGTCAATATGAATTTCAGATTCTATAAATGTAACTCAAGTGTACATGCTGTTGTATACTTAATCATGTGACCAAATTGAAGCCAATCAGAGGGCTTGAAATATATGATTAAAATAATATAAGTCGATAAAAAAATGGGTAGCAACTGTTCCTTCGCCATGCGCTCGGCACTTTGAAGTGAAAGTTGCGGGTCCTTTGGATGAGACCTTAAAAACTGAGGTCCCGTGTCAGCGGCAGGCGTTGGCACAATAAATAAATTTTATGTTTTTAAATCATGATATTAAGTTTCTTTTTCTTGTAAGACCTTTTTATTATTTAATTTTATTATAAAATCATTTTTTTTCCATAGATGTATTCATAATTTTCTGACTTAAAATATACAAAATACAGGTAAATCTAAAGAGCAGATAAAATTAGTCTTATTATTGTAAGAACAATTAAACTATCTAAACATCTATTTTTATTTGCAAGTGGGAATAGGTGGAATTGAGATTTTAAAAAGTGGGAAAATGTAGAAGACACCCGAAAAAGATTCCTCACTGCTCAATGGCCCTGAGTGCCGAGTAAAGGTCAAGATTTGAAGCCCTTCACTGGCATACGGTGACTTGTCTATATGAGTGAAAAATTCTCGAGAGGGATGTTAAACAATATACAATCAATCAATCAAGAAATTTTCCCCAGAGCGTTTTCATAGCACAACAAATTTTGTCTTACCCTTTCGTATATTTTTAAGCTCACTAAATAAACATAAAAACTTAATTTTATCGATCAACATATTTTTTTACAGAAATTTATTTTGTTTATAAAGAGTACATAAAACTTATTTTTCTCTTAACTATATCTCGAGAAGAATCAATAAAGACTCCTTTTGTAGAGAGGAAACATTAAATAATTAGATTACATCCAAAAAATGAATTTAAAATTTAATGCACTGATGTAGAAAAAATATTTTCAAAATCTTTGGTAACAAAGTCCCTTTTTGGAGTTATCTTTCCTGTTGCCCGGGACTCAAAAACTTTGGCAAGTCTCCGCATACGTCACCATACTATATTTAGTAATTACTGGGCACTGAACTGGAAAGATATAAAAGAGGAAGACTAGAAAGGCACACTAGTTTATCAATACTTGTAAACACACAATGAGATAATGTATTATTGAAACGTACAAATTAGTGTGCCAAAATTTCAACTTTCAAAACAGACTCAGTTGATTAGCCTGAAAGTTTAAATAACCTAAACGTTTTTCGTCATACCGGTACCTGTTATTTACGAATTATTATTATAATGTAATATTCTCCCAGACGTCTGTTGTTCTTTTATACAAAAAAACCGCACATCTTTTTCCATGGGGTACTCTGTGATCATACCATGTCATGTTTTTGATTAGGGTGTCACTCTCAGTGTACTGCAAACTTTTCTCTTGCAACTCTTTTACAAACGGTGCTAGACCAAATCGTCCGTGCATAAACTAGATAAACCGGAAGTAAAAGTATTTTTTCTCTATATACGTCACAAATCACATGGTGTGGAGGACCCTTAATTATAAGTTCAATGGTTATGTGATTTTGTATGCTACTGTAAAGATAAGATCGGTGAAATCAACTAATGTATATTATGATATAATGTCAAATCATGGATCAATTTATTCTCTTTCAGTTAATACGGCGAATGTGCTAAGGACACATCGGTTGTCAGAAACATACACAGTTACGTCCGCTGTCCAAGGAACAATAGAAAAGCTGAGAAAGTATAAACTTTCCGTTTTAGTAGGTTATGGTGGAGAAGGAAAAACAACGACAGCTTATGAAGTAATGTGTCATATGTTAGAAAACTCAACAGAAAATCCCCTTACACCCGTTGAAATAAAATATCCAGAGGAATGGAACAAAGTAGTTAATGCCTATGGGAATTTTATAGTTTTCCTTGATGATTTTATGGGTTCCTTTAATCTAGATACCGATGCAATGGAAAAATGGAAAAATCACGTAAATTTTATTTTTCCCTCAATAAAAGGGAGAAATATATATCTAATGTTTGGGATAAGGAAAAATGTAATGGAAGCAGCAAAGAACCGTTACCAAGTCCATGAACTTTTTAAGGAGAAGTATATAATTGACTTCTCCAAAGAATTTGCATTGTCGGAAAAGGAAAAATTAGCAATGCTAGAAGCTTTTGAAAAGAAATATATTAATAGAAATACCAGTTTGCAAGGCAAAGAAATGAATGGGCATCAAAAAGAAAATGTTACAGAAAAAATGAGCCAATTATCAGACTTGGATAAAAAAAAAATTGTCCAGTCTAATCCTTTTTATGGTTTTCCTCTCACATGTTTCCAGTTTTTTACAATACGAGGTTGCTATGAACTTGGGCCTGCATTTTTTTTGCGCCCAAACCGAGAGCTTTTTACAAGAATAGAAAACATGCGCACTTCGAACGACATATACGAAAAAATACGTTACACAGTTTTGTCGTATATTTTTGTACATGGATCTATTTGTCTTCAAAACTTTGATATTGCCTTGTATGAGACCGTTTGCGTAAAAGTACGTTTACAAAACATCAGGGAAATTGAAATACAGGATGCTATACATTCAATGGATGGGTCATTTCTTTCAGAATCATCAATTAAAGGAAAATACATGTTTTCACATGACACAATTTTAGAGACAATTTTAGTGTCATATGGGCAATTAGCACCCGATGTTGTAATCAAAATATGTAGTAGACAAAAATTGCAAGAACTGCTCCGAACCGAAAACTGTGAGATGAAGCAGCATGAAGTTGCTCTGAAGATTAAAAAAGCAAACTTCAGTGATCTTTGCCAGATAATGTTGTATGGAGATGATGCCGATGATATCATATCAGATCCGTTTCTTGCAGCTCGAAACATAGCTTGGCATCCTGCCTCCACTGATCCAAATTTTGTGACTCATCTTTTACATTTCGATGCTTCAGAAAGACTGATTGACGTTATATCAAATCTGGTGAAAGTATTACCATTTTGTCCACAAAAAGAACCGACATTGCTTTTTATGTTGTTGGAAGATTTTGGTCCACACATCACAAATCTTGAAGAATCAAAAAAACCTACCATAACTGATGTAACTATTTTAAAATTAGTTTTAGAAATTGTGCAGTTTGCATGTGATAAGGAGAAATATATTTTATGTATACTGAGATATGTTCAGAAATATAGAAATTTTGAAAATCTTGTAGATGCAAAAATCGGAGGACAGTCTTTTCATACCCTCTCTCTCTTTCACTATTGTGTACTCCATGGCTGGAGTAATGCTGTGGATTTTATCCTTCAGTATAAAAATCCAATAAAAACTGGAGAAAATTGGTCATGTGCTCATTTAGCAGCATACGCAGGACGTTTTGAATTACTGTGCAAGTTTGAAGCTCTTGATCAGAATATAGAAAGATTAGACAGAACAAATGAAGGTTATACTGTATTACAAACTGCAATGTTTGGTCTCAGATACGGACATGGTGAGGTCTACAAACCTTCTTACAGCATGAATACAGGCGCGATTTATTCTTTTCATTTTAACATTGTATTTCCAGGGGAGGAAAGCTTTAAAAACGTGTTGATTTTTGTGCTTCAAGTTGGGGATACTAAAACAACACCAAATGACGTCGAAATATGTGTGGATGATATTCCGGATAAAAATGCCGTTACACATGCTTTAGTCAATAACTCTCAGTATGTTACCGATAGGCTTACGTGTTACTGTGATCCAACAAAAAAGAGTGGAAATAATATAGTGTTTTACTTGACTATACATAATTATGCAGATATCCTCGTTCTGTTACTCAAAGAAAATAGAGGTATTGCGCTTTACAGGAATGAAAATGAGCTGCCTACCTCATTGCACTTGGCTTCATATCTTGGTAGATGTAAAATTTTGAAAATATTGTTGGAATGTGGAGTATTTGTTCAAACCCCTGACTTGGAAATGTCTCTGCTGGAAGCACTCAGAAGTGGTGAGAAACTCTCTGGAAGGACTTTGCAATATGACATGATTAAGCATGAAACTGATTGGAAATCTTGCTGGAATGATGGTGAGAATGAAGTTCTGGATTTCAAGCTTAAATCATTTACGTTTGTGAAAATTCGCTTTGGCAATGCCTGTGACTTTAGAGATACAAGTGATTATATACGAAGGAACAGAGAGTTTGGTTCACTAAAGACATCTTCAGTGCACAAAGAATTAGAGCGTGTTTAGTATCACTCTTAAGACTGTGAAGCTTAGACTATGCAGCCGAAGAAAAATTTTGGTATCGATTTCGCTGACTTCATTAATACAGGTACCGGTCTTTAAAGAGACTACACATTTTATTCTTATAATATACTGAAAGGAAAAAAAATGCGGGATAGCATAATATTCAAAAAAATTTTTGACTGCATAACCGAAAATTACGAAAGTTGGTCAGAATGTTTGATACTATGCACTAAAATTAGTGTTCATAATTATACTCAATCGTAAATTGTGCACTTAAAATACTAATAGTTAATGTTTAAGCAAATTTTAGATTTGATACAAAATTATTTAACTTGGTTGAATAACTTTATGTTGATGACTTCACTTCAGCATCTGAGATATAGACGTTTTACATATGACCCTAAGGGGTACGTTAAATGCAACAAAATGGAGTCCAAGTTTGTATCCTGATTAAAAATAATTTTCAACATAAACATATTGGTCTTTTTATAGTTATTTGATTAGTTATTAGAAGTATAAGATTTTTCTAATTCCTGTGCAAGATGAGGAACTTTATTTTAGTTATTTAAAGCTGAACACTACTCGTAAATAGGCATAGTCCGCCATATTTCCCGTTGTTGTTCAACGTTCACCCTACAACCCATATATAAGAAGCAGATCCCTAATCAGTTCAATGTATTTCACTGTAGAGATCCGACGAATGTAGGCGTACACCATACAATGCGTGCTACTCAATCTCGATGAAATTATCAAATTTTATGTATACTGACACGCAAAAGAAACGCAACACCCTACTTTGGGGGAAATAATTATGTAAAGTAAAGAATTTTGTATTTTAAAATTATGGATATCTTCAGTTTGGTAAATAAAGCTAATTTTAAAGCTGAACAATTTTCATACCAGAACTGGAAGTCAAGTTTGAGTCTGTTTAACAGAAATAAAAAATGCATGTTTAACAAACCATTTGCCAATAATATGAAGTTTTAAGGGTTTATACTGTTCATCTTAAGTAAAGCAGCAATATTTCAAAAAATAAAATCTCCTTTCGTTTCCCGTTACGATGCGAAGGCTTCTCGAAAATGGCTTAAGTAGGCATTTCCATTGCCCTAACTGGAAAATCTCAACGTAAAGGTGATGGAGAGTTGATGATGCAAAAATACACTGCATTACGCCTCAACGGGGTCTTATGTATCATATGCATAAATGATAGTCCTTGGACCGGAAGTCCAAGGGTTACTACAATGCGCTAAGCTAGAGAAAATTCGACCTAATCATCTCAAAAACAGGCATTTAAAAATGGCAAAGAATAATTCCTTCCCTCAGGTATCGATATTGATTAACCTATTGTATCGTAAAAATTAAGTTGCAATGGTTGTTTAGGACAGTCTTGCACGTTGTAATTGAATGGCTGGGAGGGGAGTGTTTTAACAGTCATATGTTACTTAGTAAAGTTAAAAGATAAACATTTAACATTTTTATCAAATCCCTGATGTTCTGAAAAGTGAGTTTAGCCTTACTGTATTCTTTTTTGAAAATCACTAGATAAAAAATTCAAACATTTGTAGATTACTGCTTGTTGCGTTTCTTTTGCGTGTCAGTATATTTTTGTTTCCAAAACAGGACAAAATTATCTTGAAAAATACAGGTCAATACATTATTTACAAACAGAAAATGCACATAAAAACAAGAAATAAACGCAAAAAATCTAAGACCTCGAAAGGAGTACTACATGTCGGCCACGAGTTTCGAGTGTGCAATCGGATGTAACGAAATCGAACGGTTTATATACCCGTATGACAGTCCTATTTATGAGAAGTGTTCAGCTGTAAACGAACAATGCATGAAACATATCTGAATTTATCATCCATTCTGTGTCGTCTCTAATTTTCCGACTTTCAAAAGCCGCTGAAATCCAGATATTTTTGGCTTTAGCTAAAAATCAAATTTTCCTTGTAATGTCCTTGCATTATGAAGATCTTTTTGAGCCGAAATGGATGATACAAGCAACAGCAGTTGAATTGTCAATATAATTCTTAACATGTTTTCGACACATATTTGATAAAAAAAAAATCACTCTTTAATTCTGAAAAAGATTGCATACAATTCTAAGTAATAATATTCGAATCATATGAAACCTCGGATTCTGTCCAATTACCCCTAATACTGCACCGAATCCAGATAACGATGCATCCGTGCACATTTCATCTTCAGGATTGTCACGACCTATCGGAGCATAAGTGTTTAACAACGTGTCATAAAACCAAATCATATCATTCTTTCATCTTTCTTCTAATCTGTTATAGACTGGTCCTCATTTAAACAGAATCAAGTTCAAATCCTAAAAATGATAATAATTGCATTGGTTGAAAAATGGACTTTTCTTTATGTACAATAAATACCAATTTTTTCTCAAGAGATCACACGTGTAAGACACATTTTCTGCACATTCTTTTAACGTTGCACCTTGTAAATACACATCGTCAATGTAAACAACACATCAGAGATAAAACCCTTTGATCTTAGCGAAGCAACTACTGACTTTGATAATTTTGTAAATATTCTTGGTGCTGAACTTAGTCCCATCGCCAGACATGCATTTTCCATCACATTGCCCTCCAAATAAATTTCATAAATTTTCTAAATTCTTGGTGATCATTTACTGTGTAGTAAGCGTCTTCTAAATCAATTTTAGCCATGTAACAATTTTGAGTCATTATATTTAACATTTAAAAAATGTTTTTACACGACAAATTCGTTGAGATCTTTACGATTTAGAATAAGTTGAAAGGATCCATCAGATTTAAGTTCCGTGAAACCCGCTTATGCAAATTCACCATCACAATGACTAGTTTTTCTAATTATGCCCTTCTTTTCAAAGGAAAAAAATGAGATTGTCAATTATCTCAGAATAGCACTTATTAGTTATTGTGGGTCCAGCCATTGTTTGAAAGGGAACTTGACGTAATTGAATTTTATATACTTTAACAATGTCCAGAATATAAGGATCTGATGTCAGGTCCTGCCAGCCTTCTATATACTTTGATATACGACCAGCAATATGTGTCTCTAGAACTTCTTCGCTTTGTAAATGTCTCAAATTGCTGCCCTTGGTCCATGATGATGACTGGGCGTTGTCTCAGGTTTGTTTCCCCCACCCTTTTTCCCTTCTTAGATCCATTTGTCCAAGAACGCATTGAACCTGAAAAGGCTTTATCGACTGTTGGTATTTGTCAACTTTCTTTCCAACTTTGTTGGCCTCCTGAATTAATTTCAATTGATCAGCGATGTTGTTTCCAAAAATCATTGCGGTCTGACACAGGAACCTTGTTAGAACACAAAGATCTATAATCCGTATGCAGATCAGGTTTGATGTTGCTCCTTCTAAATTCCTTCATGTCATCGTTGGCCATGGAAACGAGAACTACAGCATCCATAAGACTTTCGGTTAGCGGAGAAATTTCCTCATTATCTTCTTTTAAATCTTTTCTCACCAATTTCTCCAACACATAGGCAACCGGTGCAAGAGCCCGTAGAAGCGACGATTGAGGTTTCTGAAATTCGATATCTTTAAATCTTGTATTATTCGATATCTTTCTCTAAATTTCGGGATTCACCCGCGGAGCTGAGAGAAACTCACAATTTTCAGGTCGTGTTTTCCCAAGAGATCGGTTCTTTTTTTCATCTTTCTTAGTTTGCCGCTCACGAACAATCGATTTTGGAATCTTGGAAATTGCCGCATTTAGAGAAGGGCCCGTTTTTTTCAGATGATGTGCATTTGTCTGAAAGTTAAGACAAAATTGAAGTATTTGATTTAGCCTCTGCCTCTTCTTTTTCTTGCGAGGAATTTTCCTTTCTATTTGTATTATATATTTCCACATCTTCATTAGATGACGTTGCTTTCTTCGTAGTGGACAATTCCATAAAAATGTCAATCCGCGCACTGGTGGATTGAAATTCCTGAAAGAGTACTTGTGCTGGGTCCAGGACTTTGAGGACTTGCTCGCGATCGGATCATTTGCCACCTCAAATGACGAATCATTGTCTTTTCCGACTTCAAATTCCTTGGCAAGTCTTTTTAACACGGAGTCAGTCTTATTCACAAAACTCTAAATCCCGCGTGAAGAATTTCTTGCGTTATCAATTTCACAATTTCAGATGATATACAAAACACGTGCTTTCGCACTGGAAATGGCAGCAAAACTGATCTGGGAACTAGTAAGCATACATGTATTCCTCATGACACCACGTGACTGGATGCCAAAGGAGAATTGAATTTTCTTGTTCCCTAAATCAAACACCTGATAGACTAAGTTCCCATTGAGAAGCAGTCATAGCTTCTGAATTTTTAAATAAGGAGTATATAATATGCTCTCGACTATATGTACATGTTAATGGGTATTTTCATGTTTTTTCTGCCTCTGTTCTAGGTTTCTTGACAGGTACCCCACAGAACTATGCTAGGAAGTACAACCTTCCCATACATCAATTCACCTTCCATTTCCACCCGCTCCCTCACTTCCGGGAGCAGAAGGAGGTCACCACTCAGATGGCGGAACTCAAATTCTGGGAGGAGATCGAACTGGACAAAGAAGTAAGAAGCATTGTTTTGAAAACTCAGAATTTTGACAAAAATTCAGAATTTTTTAATATTTCAAGCATGTTCTTCTTCTTCTTCTTCTCCTTCTTCCGGTAGGGAGTTGAACTCTATACAGAGTGTTAATAACTCCAGCTCGGTTAAAAACAGGAGGCTTCCTCTTTAAAAACGGATAAAACTATATACATTGTGGCTGTCTTGTCTACCAGGGTTGCAGCTGGGTCCAGGGGACGCTGTTTAGTCCAGTCCTGAACTGTAAGGGGCTGCTGTAATTTTCTCTGGTAAGTGGTTCCAGTCTCTCACCGACCGTGGGAAGAATGAATTCTTATAGACCTCCTTGGTGGCACGAGACTGTCTGTATCTATGGCTACCTCTAGTTCTTATGTCCCCGGGTGTATAATACTTGTCTGAATTGATGTCCACCAGGCGGTTCCTTATTTTGTAGCATAGGACTAATCGATGTGTTGTTCTCCTTTGCTGGAGTGAGTCCCACTCTAGTTGTTCAAGTAAAGATGTTACGCACCCGTGGGAGGTATCCGTGTACTGATTAAAGACGAACCTGGCCGCTCTAAGCTGTACCTGTTCTAGATCCTTTGTTAAGTTGGTCTGGTAGGGATCCCACACTGGTGACGCATATTCGATCGGTGGTCTGATCATGGTACAGTACGCTGTTGCTTTAACTGTTGGTGTGCACTGGCCAAGGTTTCGTCTCAGGAAGCCCAGGGTTGTTGTAGCTTTCCCTATCTTAGTGTGTATATGGTTATTCCACTCTAGGTCTTGGGAGATGGTAACACCAAGATACTCCCCACTCTCCACCACTTCCAGCTGATGTCCATGCAGGGTGTATGATGTTTGCAGTGGTTGTCGTTTGTTGGAGATCCGAATGACTGTACACTTTTCGGGATGGAAGCACATCTGCCACTTCTTCTCCCATCCTTCTAAGGCAGTGAGATCTTTCTGTAATTTGTCTGCATCTTTCTGGTTTCGGATCTGTCGATAAACGAGACAGTCATCTGCAAACAGTCTGGCGTCTGATTTGGTGCACTCAGGAAGGTCGTTTATGTAGGTTAGGAAAAGGAGTGGT